ATGGGGATGGGATGGGGATGGAGGTGGCAATGCGGTGATGATGGGATGGGGTGAGATGAAATGGGAATGGGGATAGGGACCAAAATAGCGATGGGGTCACGGTGGGATGGGAAGGAAGCAGGGAAAGGGATTGAGACAGTGATGGGGTGAGGATGGGATGACAGTGGGGTAGAACAGGATAGGGACTGATAGCAATGGGGTGATGATGGAACGAGGATGGGGGTAGAACGGGATGGGATAGGAATGGGAACACGGGTAGGGGTGGGATGGGATGGGATGGGATGGGATGGGATGGGGGAGAAGGTGGATATGGGATGGGGACGGGATGGACGCCCACCTGCATGTTGAGGCGGCCGCGCTGCGCACCCAGCCCGTGGCGCAGCATGGAAGAGGCCAGGATCTGGTCATCCTCCACACGGTGGGACTCCATGCCGATGGGAGGGCACCCTGTGGGGACAGGGGACGGGAAGGCCGTGGCACTGCAGCGTAGCGTCCCCGCACACAGGGATGGGAACACTCACTCGTCTTCTCCTCCGGTGCTGCCCACTCATCCTCATCTGGCTCCCACTTCTTCCCACCTGGCTTTTTGGGTTTTCCTAGAGGAAAGGCGCACAGTGAGGGGGGCACAGGCTGAGTGGGACGCAGGGTTGGGGGCACCCACCTTTGCTGTCCCGGCCCTTCTCCTCTGCCCACGGATCCTCCTCCTCCTCCTTGCTGCTGCCACCCTTCTTGGGCTTCCCTGGTGGGAAAGCAGTCATAAGGAGACAGCGATGGGACAGGGACAGATGTGGGAATGGGAAAGGAGTAGAGATGGTACAGGGACAAGGACAAGGATGGGACAGGGACAGGAATCAGACAGGGACAAAAATGGGACAGACAGAGATGGGGACAGGGCTGTGCCACTGCCTCTCACAGGGCTTCAACTTCTCCTCGTCTGTCTCCATCTCCTCCTCTTTCTCCGGTTGCTTCTTGGGCTTGGGCGGTGGGAGCAGCCCGTAGTCGACTATGGGGTGGGGATGGTAGTGAGGGGCTGGGATGCCCCTGGGGACCCCTCAGAGCCCCCTGGGAGCAGGGGATGGGGCCGGGGGTCACTCACAGTCATCGTAGTCGGGTCGCTCCCAGCCCTCCTCGTAGTCGCGCTCGGTCACGGGGCCGGGCAGCGGTGCGGGGGGCTCCTCTGGTGTGGCTGGGGATGGGCAAAGGGTTTGGGGTGCCTATGGGGTCCCCTATGCCCTTGCAGGGTCAGCGTGTCCCTACGGTGTCTTCATGCTACTGTGAGGCCCCCCCTTACCACAGGGGGTCCCCACATCCCTGAAGGGTTTCCCCTATCTCCATGAGATCCCTACACTCCCACGGGCTCTTCCGTGTCCCTTTGGGATCCTCTATAGCCCCTATAGGGTCCCCACGTCCTGCAGAAACCTGCATATCCCTACAGGATTCCCACAGCTCCTGTGAGGTTCTCCTGTCCCTGCTGAGTTCACATGCCATTATGGGGTCCCCATGTCCCTGCAGGAACCCTGTGGGATGTTCATATCCCATAGGATCCCTGTAACCCCCACGGAGTCTTCTCCATGCCCCTGCAGGAATCTGGTTGTCCCATGGGATCCCCCTGCTCCTGTAGGGTCCCCCTGGACCTATAGAGTTTCTTGTTGTTTAGTGTCCCCATTTCCATGCAGGAACCCACCATCCCTATGGGATCCCTATACCTCTAGAGGTCCCCGTGCCCCTATAGAGTCCTAATGCCCACATAAGGGACCTCCACGTCCCCATCGATGACCCCTGCAGGATTGCCATGCCTCCATGGGGCTCCCTGCACCCCCCACACCAGGACGTCCCCATGCCCCCCCCATCCCTGGTGACCCCAAACCCACTCCCAGCCCTGGGGTCGCCCCCAGCCCGTGTCCCCGCACTGACGCGCTGCCGTCTCCGGTTGGGGCCAGACCCGGTCGGGTTTCCTCCTGTTCGGGGGTTTGCGGGGCTTCTGCTGCCGCCGGATGTACTCAACTGAGGACAGAGGGGGACACTGATGGCGGGGCCGTGAGGGGGTGAGACCCCACGGTGCCCCGTGAGCCCCAGTGCCGTACAGTCCTCATAGTCCTCCCGCTCCAGCTGCTCGTTGTAGTCCAGTGTCGGCGGCTCCGGCTCCTCAGGGACCTCTGCAGGGTGACACGGGGACGTGGGACAAGGAGGTCGGGGGGTGACGTCAGGATGCGGGGAGGTGTCCCGGAGATGAGGGACACGGCAGCAGGGCACGGGGAGGTGGTGACACGGGGTGGCTCTCACCTGCCTCAGGCTCAGGGCGCCGATCCTCCCGGCCCCACTCCCAGCGCTGGGTTGGCCGCTCCTCCAGCTCCTCTGGGGACGGGGACACGGGGGGTGTGGGGTGGGACATGGCCGGCATTGCGCTTTGCCCCCACGGAGCCCCTTGGTGCCCCCCCCCCGCTCACCTCGCTCTCTGCCATCCTCCTCCTCCTCCTCCTTCCCCTCGGGGATCCACGGCTGCCCCACAGACAGCGATGTCCCCGGTCCGTCCTCACCCCGTGGGGGCTGTGGGGCTGTGGGGGGCTCCCAGGGGGTGTCGGGTGGCTGCGGTGGCCTCGTGTCCAGGGGCTTCTTGGTGGCCTTGGGGGGTTTCTCTTTGGGGGGTTTTTCCTTGGGGGGCTTCTCCTTGGGGGATTTCTCTTTGGGCTTTTTGGAGCCCTTGGGGGGCTTTTCGGAGCCTTTGGGGGGCTTCTCCTTGGGTTTCTTGGGGGGCTTTTCCCCGTCAGCCTTCTTGTCCCTGTCCCTGTCCCTGTCCCTGTCCTTCTTGGAGCCCCGGGCTCTCTCTTTGGGTTTCTTGGTGGGCTTGGGCCCTTTGTCCTTCTTGGGCTTCTTGGGTTCCTCAGGCTCCGTCAGCCGCTGCGGGGGCTCTGTGGGAGCAGGGTGGGATGAAGGCACCCCCTGCCAAGTGTCCCCAGCCCCCCCTGTGCCCCCGCTCAGTGCCCCCAGCCCTGCCCAGCACTTCCAGTTCTGTCAATCTCAGTTCACCCCGCCTCATTTCACACCCCCTCAGTTCCCCCCGTGTCATTACCCCCATCCCAGTGCTCTCATCTTGGCTCCCCTCATCCCAGTTCCCTTCATCCCAGTGCCCCCACCTCAATTCTCCCCCATCCCAGTGTCCTCATTCCAGTTCCTCCCATCCCAGTTCCACCACTCCAGTGCCCCACACTCCATTACCCCCATCCCATTACACCCATCCAATCACTTCCATCCCATTACCCCCACCCCAGTTCCCCCCACCCCTTCACACCCCATTATCCCCCACCCCATTACCCCCATCCCAGTTCTTCCCTCCCCAGTCCCACATTCCACCCCATCACACCCATCCCATTATCCCCCACCCCATTACCCCCATCCCATCGCTTCCATCCCATTACCCCCATCCCATTCCCTCCCCCCCCAGCTGCCCATTACCACCCCATTTTCCCCATCCTACTACCACTCTCCCAGCTCCCTCCATCCCATTTCCCCATCCCAGTCCCTCTCCCCCAGTCCCCCATTCCCACTCCATTATCCCCATCCCGTTACCACTTTCCCATCTCCCTCCATCCCTTTGCTCCCACCCCACGACCCCCATCCCATCGCTTCCATCCCCTTACCCCCATCCCAGCGCCCCCCATCCCGTCACCCTTTCCCCCAGCCCCTCGTGCCCCCCCGCCCCGCGCTCACCACCGTTCCCCGCTCCCCTCTCCCCGCCGGTCCCGGGCTGAGCTCCGAGCCGCACATCGCTGCCATCCCCTCCCGCAACGCCGTCCACGGGCGCCAGGAAACCGCGCAGGAACTCTTCGATCTCCGCGTCCGTCAGTGCGGGAGCGGCGGGGCCCGGCCCGGCCCCGGGCAGCAGCGGGAGCAGCAGCAGCAGCGGGAGAAAAGCGGCGGAGCGGGGCGGCATGGCGGAGCGGCACCGGGCGGAGCGGGACGGGACGGGACGGGATGGGGGGGGGGGGGAGGGGCGGCACCGCCCTGCGGGGGGACCGGCGCGGGCCGGAGCGGTACTGAGGGCGTGGGACGGAGCTGCGAGGGCATCGCGCTGATATCGCGCTGATATCGCACTGATATCGCGCTGGTATCGCACTGATATCGCACTGATATCGCGCTGGTATCGCACTCACACCACACTGCCACTGCACTGGCATTGCACTGGCGCTGCAGGGGTGCAGCCCTGCCCTTGGCACTGCGCTCCATCGCGTCGGTGCTGCACGGGCACGGCAGGGCAGCAGCACCGCACAGCACCGCACAGCACCGCACAGCACCGCACAGCACCGCTCCCCGCTCCCTCGCGCCGCTCAGGACCGGCTCTCCGTGGCACTGGCGCCGCACGGGAGCGGGCACGGCGCCGTCCCTGCAATGGCACCGGGCTCAGGACCACCCCTGGGTGCCGCCCAGCATCGGGGTCACCCCCGTTGTCTCCATCCCGCTCCCCCAGTCCCTCCACCGGGCCCCGCAGGCTCCCCGGGCCCCACGGAGGCCGAGCCACGTGGCCGAGCCCCCCCGCGCTCGTCACACGCGTGGCCCCCAGCCCGGCTGTGACTCAGCGCCCAGACGCGCCGCGGCGGGGGTGGCGGGCGAGGGGGGCTGCCGTGTGGCGACCACAGCTTCCCAGTTCCTCCCAGTAACTTCCCGGTGCCCCCAGTTCACCCGACGCTCCCCGG